CGCGACTGCGACTGCGACTTGTTGCTTGGATGACCCTAACGGAGACTATATTAGCGATGGAAGTGACGATGGCAGAGATGAAGTTCCCAAGTACACATATCAATTAAACTAACAAATTCTATTATGACAATGAGAACGATTGAGTATTACATAATATATTAACTAAATAATTGTCAGTTGGGCCGTGGAACCATCTACAATTTGGCTTGGGTTCGATGCTTGACTTAGTGTAAAGTGAATCTCAGTATTATATAGATCGCGATGAGGATGGAACAGAATTTCCAAAGCACCCACGTGCAGAAAATGAAATTGCACTCGTCTATCTCAATATGATCGCCGAAATCTAAAATCAGTGAATTTTCGGGAAATACAACAAACAAATCATCCACATATTGGCATAAAAGTGGGAATTTATAGTTAACTTTATCTACAAACGAAATATAATAATTTATTCATCACAATTTCCGCGATCAATAGGGAGGCGGCACCACCCATCGGCAGACCCTTAATTTGTTGATAGTAATCGTTGTTAAAGGTGAAAAAAGTGTTACTATATAGGTCCATGTCAATAAAGTGTTTTTTCGGAATATTGCAATTGGGCTCAATCAAATTGAAATGCTCGTCTAAAATTGCCAATACTAACTCTAGGATGATATTCGTAAAAAGAGACACCACATCAAAAGAAGCAAGCACAAAGCCCTGAGGTATTTGAACACCGTTAACACGTTCAGCAAATTCGAATGTGTTTCTAATTCTAAATTTATTCAATTCAGCGAAAGAGGCACTCAAAATCTGACCAACGAAATATGCCAATGGCTGTGTAGTTTCTCCGACACAGGACACTATGGGACACAGTGGGCAGTCCTCTTTATGGACTTTCGGAAAGCCATAGTACTTTGGGCATACACGGTTATATGTGATAAGTTTTTTTGAGATGGCTTCTTCAATATACCCTTTTTCTTTCATATTTTTCACTAATGTATTACATTTATTTTTTGTTGAGGACGCAGGGTCTCTATGGACTGGAATATACGTTGCATTATCTCCAAGTTCCAATGATTTTTGTATATATGATTCTCTAGACATGGCAACCGTGACCCTTGTCAGACTTGGTAATTAGTAGGTTAGAGTTAGCTCAGAAATTCCCTTGTCCGTCTCTCAATGTCATGTGTCGGCGCACGTGTTACTATTAATATAATTACCAATGAGGTTTGTGCCCCTCGAGCGAACCAGGTGTCTATGAAAATATTAATGTCCCTTGGTGGAATAGAGAGGCTAAATTTAGGACCTAAGGCTAGAAAACCACAAACGTCGGCAGGTATTATTGTGCTAGAAATGTTGTTAAACCAATTAACATAATTAGCAAAGAACATGGATCTTCGGTCTACCTAAGTCCTTTGGTTATTATTATTATTACCCTTAATTTTATTAAAAATCGAATTGTATTGAATGTTGTGTGTGAATAAAAAATCGTCTAAAATATTAAAAGGAAGGTTCTTTCCAAGTAGAAATTCTGTATGTCGCTTCAAAGTATGTTCTAGTGTCTTGATGTTCGGGTCACAATTTGCGGTAGCCATGTTGTGCGTTTTTTTATTTACCTTTTGTATTAGAAATTCGAGTTGTCTATGGTTATTGTTGTTCAGTCGTTGAAATATCCGCCACAGGTGTTGTGTGCCATCTTGTAGGTATCTGGGAGTCACGACGCCAGTGCCATATGTGATTCCAATCCTCCGATAGAATGATCCCATTCTTACTCCTACAAGCAAAGTGTAAATACAGTAACTTGTTGTACAAAATGACTACGGGACCATACAATATTGACTAAAATAGAGGGAGCAATAAAAGATGTAAATGCTCATTGGATAGTGGCTTTTTATTGTTAAGTCAAGCTTTCGCCCAAGTATTTAGGCTAAACGTTCGCTTGAGCTTAACTCATTGTTCCGTGTTGGTGCGTCTACCACAAATATTAGCGATGATGAATTCGACTCTTCTTCTGATAATTCAGATGTCGTCCCCAAGAATTCTACTCTAATAGATTCGTCATTTGCATCTGGTCGTTCTCAGCCTGTATACAAATGGAATGTCAAATTTTCTGGTGACCCCAAGAGTATGTCAGTAACACAATTTTTAGAGCGTGTAGAAGACCTACTTTGGTATAGGTCTGATATTAAAAGGTGTCAAAATTGGAGAAAACTTCGTCAACTTCTTATTTCGCATTATTTACCACCAGATTATAAGTCTCGTTTATTTGAGGAAATTTTATCGTGTACACAAGGTCCCAACGAAACAATTGTGGATTATCTCGCTTGCATGAGTACTATGTTTAGCCGTTATGGCAATGTTCCAGAAGAAACACAGATTGATATCATTTTAAGGAATTTGGCTCCATTCTACTTTATGCAACTCCCAATTGTAAGCTCTCTTAATGAACTTGAGGCTGAATGTCTAAAACTTGAGGTTAAGAAGTTTCGTGCGGATCACTATAGACCTCCCACTCGTAGGTTAAACCAAAGTTATGTGGAACCCGAACTTGCATATTTGTTAGCATCCACTCATGAATTGTCTTTGAATATATCCGAGGTAAAATAACTTTATTAAAGAAAAAAAAATAACAACAAAATATAATCAAACAAAACAGTACCACCGGAATGAAACCTTCAGAAATTACCCCAACAACGGAGATTCTCGTATATAATTTACCAAAAAAAAATTTGCAGTGAAAAAGTCAAAGTTCAAAGCTGGCGATGCAGTGAGCATAAGTCGCACAAAATCGGTTTTTGGCAAAAGCTATGAAATTAATTGGACACCCCGAAAATTTCAAGATTGTTAAAGTAAGTGGTTCCTTCCCTCTTACGTATATTTTGGAAGATATGGAGGGGCGTTAAATCAAAGCTTCGTTTTATGAAGTCGAATTATAAAAACCGTACTACCAAATAGTCGATCGACCGTTTTAGCGGTATTTCCTTGTTTCCCGTGTCGGAGTTTATCTCTTTTCTTTTGTGCATATTCTTGTTTAATTAAATCTTGATTAGCTTTTTATGCCAATTTTGACGATCATCTAATTTTTTGTAACTAAAATTAATTCAATAGAAACAATTAAGGCGAGATGATGCCCGGGAGCTGTTGTATTAGGTATGAAAAAGTCAATTTGGATGAAGGAGATGCTTCTTTTGTCCCGACAATGTACAAGAATAAACCTGTCTAACCATAGCAAAATGGGACCCAAAACTGTGACACTAGGCAAGAGTATGCGTTATTTGGAAGTTAAATTTTAAAAATCCTTTGCAAAATATTCACGGGCAAGGTGTCAAGGCGTCAATTTTTATAAAAATCGGAGGTCAGTGTCGGAGAAATAAGGGTTCTTCCCTTTTCTCCTCGTCTGTTTTTAACTCCGTTTTGAGTAATTTGTAATAATTTGAGAAAAAAAAATTCAGTACCCGAAAATGGACACACATTTGCAAGCAAAACAAAAAATAGGATATAAAAAAAACTATAAAATATAGGCGCCAATGCAGGCAATAGTTTAAATACGTGAAGTTACATTTTTAAACATAAATTCAGATTTTCGGTGGCAATATAACTCTATTTTTTGTGTTTGTTAAGATTTATATACATAATATCAAACCAGCCTTTGGAAACGTCTGGTTAATGGCCACAGGCCATTAGCTTCTAAATAAACGCGAGATATTATGAAAACCGAAAAAGTTTGAATGGAATCTAACGTTTTCTTTTGTTTCTCGAAGTAGTAATTAAGCGGAAAAGTACTCGTAGTATATTGATTAATTGTAGAAATGTCACATTTTCTACATAACAACTTAAGTTAAATAAAATGCAAATTAAATTATTAAAAATTACCGCTTTGTTGTTTTCGTTATTTACTATGCCTGAACCTACGACGACACTGGAGGGTAGCTTAAATTTGACCTCCTTAGTTTACCTGCCTTTCGTAGGAATGCGGGTTGTTTCACGTGTCAGTCGAAGTTTAAAGAAGCGTTTGTGTTAAGGGTTCGTTTCTGTTATCCACGTTTGTTGCTTAATGCAATATCGCCAACGAGTTTAAGTTTTGTGTTCATTGTGTATTTCATATACGAATAAATAAAACAAAAAAGACTGGAAAAAGATAGGTAAGAAGCTTTCGGAATTGCGACTTTAATGAGTAACCGCGTAACATTTTGACCTAGTATTATGTATATGTTCGACGAGGTTTCTATACTTAATTAAAAAAAAAAAATTGGGGAGTGATCAAAGGAGGCTGAGGTCGGAGATACGGATCTTTTTTAGTATCCATTTTTGTTTAATAAAACAACCAAAAATGCTCGCTTACGTTTTTGAAGTAGGTAAAAAGGAAACAGAATTTTAATAGAAATAACGCACAATATATCTCCCAAAAAATTCAGCCATATGAACAAAGCGAAGAAGTTAAGCAGATAAAATTTTACAAGATTTTTGGGGACAAAGTGTAAATTCGGATTGTGGAAAGTAACAGATAGAGAGAATGAGTTACATATATAGAAAAAGAGAGACAGAAAGGTAGATTTATTTAAACGTTTCTCAATCATCCACCCATCGGAGATAATAAATAACATTCGCTAGTTTTTTTTTGCATGTATTGAGTTAAGTTCGGAATAGAAATATATCGATAATAACAATTTAAATATGGTAATTTTTGGGGATTGTCATACGTCCGCCAGCGTATTAAAAATATGGTTTTAGGGGTTAGAACTTTTTAAGTTTCAAGAAAAAAAACTCATGTTGAAATTTTTGTATTCGGAAGCTTCTGTTGTTTATTAATTTATAGACACTGGAAAACAATAATAAAATATCCTACAGTTGACGATACGTGTTCTCTTAAACTCGAAAAGAGCTAACTTATCTTAGAAGAGTACGTATTTTTGGTAAAATAGATATTTTTTATATTAAATATTTGACCGATCGATGTAATTCGTCAAGCAGAAACCGAGAAGAAAAGTGACGCTTGTGCTGTTTGCTGACAACCCGACCCTGCTTCGTGTACAAATGCAATGATATTTCGGCAGGGCTATAGGCTACGAAACCTTTCAAACTCGAAAAGGACGAACAAATTTTAAAGAAAAAAGGTGCTTCATTTTTGGTAAAAGTAATAGATAATTTTTTTTTACGCTAAATATTCCACAGATCGATGTAACTCGTCAAGCAGAATCCGAGAAGAAAAGGGTGCTGTTTGCTGACAATCCGACCCTGCTTCGTGTACAAATGCAATGCCATTTCGGTCAAGCGGAATCCGAGAAGAAAAATGACGGATGTGCTGTTTGCTGATAGTCCAGCCCTACTTCGTGTACAAATGCATGGCGGAGAGAGCAGAAAGTTTTCGAAACTGCGTGAGTGGAAGTCTGCGTTGGACAAATTTTGAAAATATCTGAAGGTTTAACGAATTTTGGAGAATTCGACAGAGCTACAGACTACGAAACCTTTCGAAACGAACACACGTGTCCTGTAGAACTTGAAAAAGACGAAATTATTTTTAAAAAGGTATATTGTTGCTAAATAATAGTTTTTTTTTTTAATTAAAATATTTGACAGATCATGGTAATTCGTGAAGCAACATCTCAGAATTGAATCGGCGAGTTGTGTATTTGCTGACAATCCGAGCCTGCTCCGTTTAGATTTGCTTAACGAGGAATCAAAAAATCAAAAAAAAGGTTAACGATTTGGATCATTTTGGAAGATACATACGCCGCGCTTTTCAAAGCGGACAGACGTGCCCTTGTCCAACTTGACAAAGGCGGAATTATTTTAGGAAAGGTATATTATTTTTAAAAAAATATACAATTTTTTAAGTAACATATTTGACGGACCATGGCAACTAGTAAAGCAGAATCCGAGAATTCAATCGGCGGCTGTATGTTGACTGACAAGAATATAATTGCTGTTAATCCGGCCCTGCTTCGTGTACAAATGCATAGTGGGGAGACATGAACATTTTTTGAAATTGCGGCCCTATCCTCTTGGGATTCTACGTTGGACAAATTCTGAAAACGACCCCAGAAATATAATTTGTGAGAAAATAGTTTTTTTTTGTGTGTTAACAGTTAACAATTTTTTATTTTGGAAATAAGGGGTTTCAGTATGTACTGGTATTAGTGAATCAATTTAATGTCCTCAGCATCTCTAAACCCCCTCTTGAGACGCGTTAATGATCCGGATCGAGTTACGTCGCGTAATTATGTCACTTTTTTAATTAAAAAAAAAAAGGTGATGTACCTACCATACTTTAGAAACCCCTACTCCCCTTTGGAGGTGATGAAATAAGTTTTAGCATAAAATATAAGTTCCTCATATTACTTTGATATGATAAGTACAAGTCTTGCCGTTTTTTTTTTAAAAGAGGTTCAAACCCGTGCGAGGTGAGCTTTCATATATGAAACAGACCAGTCATGGGGACACGAGATATGGAAAGTTTCAGCGTAGTCGTCGCCACATTGCTGCCAACATTGCATATATAAGGAATCACGAACCATTCAGGTAAAATTTTGAAAACATATATTTATGGCAATATAGAACCTCTCTTTTTTTTAACAGGAATATTGAGACTTAGACCAGTATCTTTTTAAGTCGGCATGTGGGGTAAAGAAGACGCGAAAGCTTCAGTCGTGTACCAGCGGTAACGTAGGCGATTGATATATTTCCACCACTACATAAGGTGGATTGGAATTTCCCATTTGATGCTTTGACTGACTAAATGAGAAAACTTGGAGGTAAGCTCTTACGGAATTCTATGGAAATATGTTTAGTAACATATTGGTGCACTACTCTGTCTTCCAGTCAGTTTCACATAAACTTTGCACGTATTATAGAAATGCCACCTACTTTTTTTTTGTGTTAATATTATTGAAACTAGTAGCTGGTAGCTGTAGTCGTAAGCCCAGAGAGTCTCTGTTTTGAACATAATACACAAAATGGGGCGTTCAATAACTCTGATTGCTTAGACTGCATGGCTTTTAGAGTCGGCGTAAAGTATGGTAATATACCCGGATCAAATTCAGAACTAGAAAATCGTTGTGTCTCTGCATTAAAAATAATAGTAAAACTTATTGTAGGCACCTAGTAGAGTATCGAAAATTTCCATTCTTAGTGCCAAATTGGTTACTCCAGTAAATTCCAACTGTTCTAATTTTTTTTTTAATAATTTATGATGTTAGTGAGTTTCATTGCAATTATTTGTTACTTAAATTTTCTGCGTATTAAACCTTAATTAACAATACGCTATTCGTTAACGCAGGTAGAATTAATGACGCTGACTGACCTGATTTTGTCCAGGGGGGCATAGTACGGTAGTTTGTACTGTGATGTTTGGTAGTTTGGCAGTGAGCTCTCATTTATGAAACTGGGGAATGTTTCGTTATCTTCAAATCGTAAACACGTATCATTAGAATTATATTTTTAAAATATTGATTAGGACATGTACTGAGTAACTAAATGCTCTAGCAAAAATATTCACACATATTGCGGAAAATGTACAAATTTATATTAGAGAAAATTAACTATTTTTAGAGGTTGGTTTTTCAAAAAGGTGGGGATTTAGTTAAAGAACAGATAGAGACTAAAGGGAAGCTCTATGAGAAAAGTTAGAATTAAAAAGTCGATGTTTTCGTGTCATAGCGAAAGATGGATTATTATAAAAAATAATACTTGCATTAATTGTTGTCACCATTTGTGAAAAATATGGAAAATATCCTCTAGGTTCGCATACCTTTTTTTTTAAATTTTTTTAAGGTGGCTAACAAAATACACAGACAGAAAAGTTTAGATCCTGTTCGTTAATGTAGCGCATAGAAAAAAATTAGAAAAGAGAACCTTTCGTGTATGGCATACGTAGTTAGTACGGAATATTAATCTGAAGGCTGCAAGACAGTGAAAGAGTGATGCGCTTAAGTGTGGTTCAGAGAGGTTATTTGCGCTGTAGAAGTTTTTCTTTGAACAGGGTTCAAATAGCGTCTCCTAGAGCGTTAGCAGAGAAGAGTATTACAGTATTTAATATAAGCGTCCAGATTTCATTATTGTTGAGATTGCATAGAAACACACTTTCATGTAGTAGTCGCAGCAGCTTTAAAGTATATGACTTTTTAGTTAAGATGCCTTTCGAGTTTGCTTTATGGCTTGATAGGAAATTAAAGGGTAGATACAGATAAGTTACGAAAAAAAGTATGTACACTATCCTCAAAGATCAGCAATAAATAAAAGAAATTGATGAAATAGTAAAGTTGACTGCGATATCTTAAAATCATCAATAAGATAGATAAAATAATTTTGAAAATATTAAATAATAAAAACAAATAATAAAAATAGCAAAGAAAATCAAAATCGTCAATAAGATAGATAAATTAATTTTGTAAATATTAAATAATAAAAATAAAATTATAATAGCAAAGAAAGCCTACCACGGCCACATACACATAATATTTTCGACATATGAACTTTTCCCAGATAAATAGTCAAATATTTCACCTTACCTTAAAACAGAAGCATGCGGAAATATGTATGAAGTTAACGCACGGTAGATGGCTTAGTAAATTAAAAAGGTATATGGTTTCTAATATCCTACTTTATTAATGAAGCTTCCACTTCCGAGAAAAGAAATCCAACACTTTTCGTCTTTATTTCCCCTGTCCTTTGTGCGCAATAAAAGTACAGTTTGTACCCGCGAGGGTACACATTCGCAGAATTATATGTTTTTAAAATAAATGTTTTGGTCAATATTCACTAGGTGGGGTTACCTTATTAAAGAAAATCTTATTCCAAGAGGGGACACTAGTTTACATTCGAACCGCTAGAGGGTACTGATGGTCACGCGAACAATATGAATAAGTCTCATTGACGCCATTGCTTTTCTTAGGGGTGGGAAAATATCTGGGCTCTGATTGGCTTCGCCGCCATCGCAAACTAGAGGTGGGGAGATTGATTAAACCCCATTGGTGCTTGCTTATCCAATGGGAGCCAGTTTCAAGGGATTATGGGTAAAGGCGGAGGAGCTAGAGAGTCGTGGGTAAGGAGGACACGCCCACAAAAGGGAGAGGAGTGGGGGAAGACTATACTGTACTTAAAAACTACTTCCATGTCAATAAAGTGTTTTTTCGGAATATTGCAATTGGGCTCAATCAAATTGAAATGCTCGTCTAAAATTGCCAATACTAACTCTAGGATGATATTCGTAAAAAGAGACACCACATCAAAAGAAGCAAGCACAAAGCCCTGAGGTATTTGAACACCGTTAACACGTTCAGCAAATTCGAATGTGTTTCTAATTCTAAATTTATTCAATTCAGCGAAAGAGGCACTCAAAATCTGACCAACGAAATATGCCAATGGCTGTGTAGTTTCTCCGACACAGGACACTATGGGACACAGTGGGCAGTCCTCTTTATGGACTTTCGGTAAGCCATAGTACTTTGGGCATACACGGTTATATGTGATAAGTTTTTTTGAGATGGCTTCTTAAATATATCCTTTTTCTTTCATATTTTTCACTAATGTATTACATTTATTTTTTGTTGAGGACGTAGGGTCTCTATGGACTGGAATATACGTTGCATTATCTCCAAGTTCCAATGATTTTTGTATATATGATTCTCTAGACATGGCAACCGTGACCCTTGTCAGACTTGGTAATTAGTAGGTTAGAGTTAGCTCAGAAATTCCCTTGTCCGTCTCTCAATGTCATGTGTCGGCGCACGTGTTACTATTAATATAATTACCAATGAGGTTTGTGCCCCTCGAGCGAACCAGGTGTCTATGAAAATATTAATGTCCCTTGGTGGAATAGAGAGGCTAAATTTAGGACCTAAGGCTAGAAAACCACAAACGTCGGCAGGTATTATTGTGCTAGAAATGTTGTTAAACCATTTAACATAATTAGCAAAGAACATGGATCTTCGGTCTACCTAAGTCCTTTGATTATTATTATTATTACCCTTAATTTTATTAAAAATCGAATTGTATTGAATGTTGTGTGTGAATAAAAAATCGTCTAAAATATTAAAAGGAAGGTTCTTTCCAAGTAGAAATTCTGTATGTCGCTTCAAAGTATGTTCTAGTGTCTTGATGTTCGGGTCACAATTTGCGGTAGCCATGTTGTGCGTTTTTTTATTTACCTTTTGTATTAGAAATTCGAGTTGTCTATGGTTATTGTTGTTCAGTCGTTGAAATATCCGCCACAGGTGTTGTGTGCCATCTTGTAGGTATCTGGGAGTCACGACGCCAGTGCCATATGTGATTCCAATCCTCCGATAGAATGATCCCATTCTTACTCCTACAAGCAAAGTGTAAATACAGTAACTTGTTGTACAAAATGACTACGGGACCATACAATATTGACTAAAATAGAGGGAGCAATAAAAGATGTAAATGCTCATTGGATAGTGGCTTTTTATTGTTAAGTCAAGCTTTCGCCCAAGTATTTAGGCTAAACGTTCGCTTGAGCTTAACTCATTGTTCCGTGTTGGTGCGTCTACCACAAATATTAGCGATGATGAATTCGACTCTTCTTCTGATAATTCAGATGTCGTCCCCAAGAATTCTACTCTAATAGATTCGTCATTTGCATCTGGTCGTTCTCAGCCTGTATACAAATGGAATGTCAAATTTTCTGGTGACCCCAAGAGTATGTCAGTAACACAATTTTTAGAGCGTGTAGAAGACCTACTTTGGTATAGGTCTGATATTAAAAGGTGTCAAAATTGGAGAAAACTTCGTCAACTTCTTATTTCGCATTATTTACCACCAGATTATAAGTCTCGTTTATTTGAGGAAATTTTATCGTGTACACAAGGTCCCAACGAAACAATTGTGGATTATCTCGCTTGCATGAGTACTATGTTTAGCCGTTATGGCAATGTTCCAGAAGAAATACAGATTGATATCATTTTAAGGATTTTGGCTCCATTCTACTTTATGCAACTCCCAATTGTAAGCTCTCTTAATGAACTTGAGGCTGAATGTCTAAAACTTGAGGTTAAGAAGTTTCGTGCGGATCACTATAGACCTCCCACTCGTAGGTTAAACCAAAGTTATGTGGAACCCGAACTTGCATATTTGTTAGCATCCACTCATGAATTGTCTTTAAATATATCCGAGGTACATGTTGTTCAAGCTACTTCTTCCTCAATGGTTTGCTTTAACTGCAAATAAACCTGGTCATTCGTTTCGTGACAGTTCTGCTCCTATCAACCAGCATTGTTTTCGCTGTAAAAGACAAAATGTCACCGTTCGCACGTGCCCGGAATGTTCACCTCGTGCGGGAAACGATCACAGGATGAACTAATCGGTTATAATAGTACCTCCAGCTCTTTGCATTGTTCGACCACTCATGTTTTTGCTCATAGAGCATTACTGGATTATGTCATACCTCATGCTGATAAAGATCAACGGCCTTATCTTGAAATCACCATATTAGGGAAAACTATTTTAGGAATGCTTGATTCCGGTGCTAACGTTACCGTTGTTGGTCAGTATGGTTAGGAATTTCTTCAGGAGCTAGGACTCAAAATTACTTCACCACCTGTCTCCGTTCCTGTTGCCAATGGACAGTCTTGTAAGAGTTTAGGTCGAGTGCCAGTGCCGATGTACATGCTAGATAGACTTTGCGTTGTCGACGTTTTGGTTGTGCCAAGCCTTCCCCGTCCTTTGATCTTAGATGTTGATTTCTGGACGAAAATGGGTATCGTCCCTGACTTGCGCCGTATTGAGTGGCATTTCTCAA